GATCACAAGTATATATAGCAAGAGTACAGACGAAGCAGCCAATAAACTCAAGCCTACACATGACTAGAACCTGTGTCAACAAGGCCTAACTGCACACAACACCTCTGGTGGTCACGAGGCGGAAGCGCCTTGGTGAAGATGTCTGCAGTGTTGGCCTCGGACTCCACAAACTCGAAGCGAGCCTGTCCACGCCTCTGCAACTCTCGCAGAAGAAAGTACCTGACGTGAATGTGCTTCACTCTGCTCTCCAGTCGCGGCTCACGACAGAGGAGGATCGACGCCTTGTTGTCAGTGAACAAGGTCGGTGCAGAGCTCGGCCGCTCACCAAGGTCGGCGAGCAAGAAGGTCAACCACCGCAACTCCTGTGCCGCCATGGCACCAGCGTAAATCTCAGCCTCAGCTGTAGAGGTCGAGACAGAAGAGGAGCGCGTGGAACGCCAGGAAACAGCTCCAGAACCCAGACTGAAACAGTACCCCTGAGTAGACCTGTGAGTCTCAGCGTCGTCAGCGTAAGAGGAGTCACAGTGACTAGTGAGTACGACAGACTGCTGCCCTCCAAGAACTAGCCCCACGCCTGATGTAGTCGCTAGGTACTTTGCCACCCTCACAGCTGCCGTCCAGTGAACAGGACGGTGTCTCCGTGGCGCAACAAAGCGCGCAAGGATGCTGAGAGGGAAGGCGAGGTCCGGGCGAGTACAAGTCATCAGGTACATGAGGCAACCCACAAGCTCTGCGTAGGGACCACTAGGCTCAAACGGCTTGTCAGGAAAGGGACCAGTGAGTCTGTGGTCAACAGCGAGAGGTGTGCGCTGTACGGTGGAGTGCTGAAGCCCGAACCGCTGAAGGACCTGCTGCACCATGTGTGACTGTGAGAGTGTAATGGTGCGAGCGGCTCTGTCCCTGGTGATCTGCAGGCCAAGGTAGTGGCGCAGCTCACCAAGATCAGTGCACGTGTGTCTCTTCTGCAGTTCGGACTTCACGTCTGCCAAAGCAACCCTGTCCGGAGTGGCGAAAACGAGGTCGTCGACGTAGACCAGAACAAAGAACGGTGTGGAGCCACGACGAACGAACAGCGACGGGTCGGCAGAAGACGGCTGGAACCCAAGGTCAGAGAGGGTAGAACGCAGAGTGTCGTGCCACTCACGAGGGGCCTGGCGAAGACCGTAAACAGGTCGCCTCAGCCTCCACTGGGTCCCAGGAGGGAAAGTGCCAGTGAAGGCCGAGGGACGACGCAACCAGACCTCCTCGTGTAGGCTGCCCTGAAGGAAAGCAGTGGAGAAGTCGAGAGAGTGTAACTCGTAGTCTCTCTGTGCTGCTACGTGTAGTAACACCCGAAGAGTGGTCATCTTCGGGGTAGGTGCGAAGGTCTGAAAGAAGTCAACTCCCTCGCGCTGACTGAATCCTCTAGCCACGTAGCGCGCCTTGAAGACCGGGGGAGATCCCGGTGGCCGCTTCACCCTGTAGATCCACATGCCGTCGACTACGTTCGCCCCACGGGGGGGAACCTCATCGACGTAGGTGCCTGTGGATCTGTAGGAGGCCATCTCTGCGTCCATGGCAGCTCTCCACTGAGAGGCCCAAGGCCCTGACACTGCCTCAGCGTAAGTGCGAGGAGTCGGAATGTCAAGGGCGTCGGGGTCACCCTCAGGGGCGAGGAGCATGGCACAGAGATGAGGGGAAGCGGCCGCCAGGAACTCTAGCTCAAACTGCCTGTCCTCTAGGGCGTCACAGCCAAGGGCAGACACACCCCCGACGACCAGAGGACTGGTAGGAGGAGCAGTCACAAGCGTGGTGGCGTAGTCAAGGCGGCGGGTAGAGGCAAAGTCAGTAACCGCGGCAGTAAGAGCGGACACAGAGGACATAGAGACACGAGGGTGAGTAACAAGAGAGGCGAGAACACGAGAGAGAACAGGACGGTACATGCGGTAGTAGTCAGTGACAGGAGTAGGGAGCGACACAGTGAGGGCCGACTCAGGAGGAGACGGAAGCACAGACTGAGACGGACGAGGTGGACTAGAAAGAAGGAAGGCAGTACGAAGGTCAGTGAAGGGAACAGGAGACGAGGGACGAGCACGAGGGGAGCAACGAGTAGCCCAAGAACGAGACGGAGGAGAAGAGGACAAGGGCGGAGAACTGGGGAAAACAGCGGGGGAGGAGTCAGGAGGAGGAAACGTGGGACCGTAGACAGGAGGAGAGGCGGAGGAGGGAGGAGAAGGGGAGGGGAGACCAAGGATCCGAAGACCCGAGACAGGAGGAGGAAGTGGCTGCTGCTACTGCGGCTGCGACTGCTGCTGCTGCGGACGCGGCTGCTGCTGGGACTGCTGCTCTTGCGGGTCCAGCTGCTGCTGCTGCTCCTCCAGCCGCTGTAACTCCCTCTCCTCTCTCTCCAACGCCAGCTGCTCGTCACGGGCACGGCGAACACGAGCCTGGTGCCTAGTCGGGTAGGGGTGGGGGGGTGGAGTAGTGTCCGAAGCAGCGGCAGCTCCAGAGTCCACCCCAGAAGAACTAGGCGCACCACCCCCAGAGGCAGCACTAACACCAGCTCCAGACCCAGGCTCACCTGAACCCGAAGGAGGCGCACCCTCACCCCCAGACGCAGCACCCCCAGTGGCCGCGCGACCAGCACCAGCTCCCGGACGACAAGAGTCCTCTGCACCCACCGGGACAGCTCCAACTCCAGAACCAGAAACTCCAGCTCCAACTCCAGCTCCAACTCCAGCACCCCCAGAACCAGAAACTCCAGTGCCAACTCCAGCACCAACTCCAGCTCCAACTCCAGCACCCCCAGAACCAGAAACCGGTACAGGAACAGGGGCAGCACCAACCTCTCGAGAGCTAGCACCAGCGGCACGCTGCGAGGAGGACTGTGGGGAGGGAGGCTGTACCGGAGGGGCTACCGAAGGAGGAGGGGTAGCCTGGGACACACCTGACGGGGCTGGACCAGGGGGGGGAGGCTGTACCGGGGGAGCAGGAGGGGGGGCTGCAGTCAGGAAGAGGGGGGGAGGAGGAACCGGGAGACCTCGACTGGGGTACCTGACGTAGTACGGAGTGGACTCCTCGAAACAGACGTCACGGGAGTCAAAGAACCGGTGAGAGGGAGGGTGGTAAAAGGTGAAGTCAGAGGAGTCCTCAGGAAAACCAAGGAAGACACAGGGGACGGCACGAGGCGAGAGCTTGTCCGCGGAGGTGTCGCGGACAAGAGCCAAGCACCCCCAGACGCGAAACCGCGACGCAACACCAGGGGACCCTGTCCAAAGACTGGTCGGTGACACCTCTGGTCGAGAGACACGTGGCCAGAGGTTCAGCTGGTGCGCGGCGTACCTGACCGCGTAGGGCCACAGAAAATGGGGGGCACAGGCGTGAGTCAGGGAGGTGCGGGCGATCTCCATGACCAGGCCTATGCGGCGCTCAGCAACCCCATTCTGCTGTGGGGACTCTGGAAGCGTCCAGGACTGACGAATGCCCTGCTCGCGACAGAATCCAGCGAGAATGCCGGAGCGAAACTCACCCCCACGGTCGGAGTGGAGACAGCTGACACGACGACCACGAGTGTCCTCGGTGGTGAGCAACCACCTGATCAGCGTAGAAGTCACCTCAGACTTCTTCGCCAGAGGGAACACTGTGGTGTAGCGGGAGAAGTCGTCAACGACCACCAGAAAGTAACGCTCACGCTCAGGGCCTAGACGAGGGGCGGGGCCCCAGACGTCCAAGTGAAGCGTCTCAAAAGGCTCGGTGGCCGGACGTAGGGAGGAGGAGTGAGGGGTGGCGCGCAGCCGACCCTCGACGCAGGGACCACACGGCGGCGCAAGCGAAGGCGGCAGCGACGGCAAGACACGTGGGAGGCCTAGGACAAGACGCTGACTGGACATAGCGCGCAGACGAGGAAGGGACGGGTGCCCCATCCGGTGGTGCCACAGAACGGTGGGGTGGGCAAGCGACCGGCAGGAGCACGACGCAGCGACTGGAACAGACGTAGGAACCAGACACGACACAGACACCTGGGGGGACGAAGCAACCTGGTGAGACGCGGGGACCCGAACGGGGGGGGGAACGGGCGGGCACGACGCGACGGGGGGAACGGGCGCGACGCGACGGGGGGAAAGGGCGCGACGCGACGGGGGGAAAGGGCGCGACCCGACGGGACAGGGCGACGCGACGGGGGGGGGGGGGGGGGGGGGGGGGGGGGGGGAAGGGCGCTAGGTAACGGGGAGAAAGGGCGCTAAGCGACGGGGGGAAAGGGCGCTAGGCTCGGTACTAGGCGCGGTAACAACGGAACTGGTACGAACGAGAGGTAGGGTCAGGCTCGGGAGGTACGAACGGAGAACGGAGGAACGGGATCCCACAGGATCCTAACCTAGCTGATACCATATCAGAATGAGGAATGGATGGTTCCATTGATGTTGGTTGGGGTACATATAACAAACCCTAACTTCTGTACCCCCTAAGACAAACCTCACTATAGGCTACAACATTTGACACCACCCTAGTCGTATATTGTATATCATAATAGTTGGACGAGAATGTTGTATTACTGCAATTGTAATGAAGCCCGTTGCCTTTGCAAGAACAGAAAGCAAGCTTTCTCAATCAGCCTTTTTCCGCTGACTTCTGAGGCCCTGCACAAAGCTCTTCTGTTCACGTTTCTTGGAACCATTAGCTACTGGCTATGCCTCTGAAAGTGGAAATTGGAGAGCACATAGCAGAGTGAACAAGCCTAATGTAAGACAAGTCTGGGTGGTTGCGTAGTGAGGATGATCACATATTTGATCTCTACCAATTGCAGTAAAAAACAAGCACAGAAACTACTTACATGGCAAGCATACCATGTCATGTAAACCCAGCAGCAGCACTACCCTGGCACAAAGCGTAGCACCACCAACCACCACCCTAAACCACTACTTCACAGCTCCACCTACACTACACTCAATAATAGATGTACTACTGGCCCTGCTACAGGCAATATACACTAGTGCTGGCAGCGCATGGGTGTGGGTGGGGCGCTAGGAGAAGAGGAAGTGGAAGGGTCCTGAGTCGCGGAGGTGCGGCGGCATGTGCAGCCCGTTGAGAGAGAGGTTCGGCAGCTCCTTGCATATATCATCCACCGCAAATGGCACCCTGCCATATGCACACATGGTCAGAGCATGGGGTTCAGAAACAAGGGGAATCCTTTGCTTTTTGCAAGTGGAAGATGGCAGTAGTGTAGCAGTGAGAGCTGTGGGGCACACAGTGGCTGGTAGCGATGGGCAACTTGAGGTGAGATGTGTGAAGAACACAAAAACACGAGCGTGCAGCTCGGAAGCATGTGACGGAAAGGAACAAGTGGAGGGAAAAACAGAGAGGATGCTTGAAAAAGAGAGACAGAGCAAGCGCAAGAAGAGCGAGAGTGGGACGTACGAGGAGTCGTCATCAAGCAGGAAGGAGTTGGTGCCGTTGAGAGCCGACTCCTCCGTGCTCTTCACACGCATGGCGTTGATGACTGCCGGCGCCACGGAGTGCGTGCCGTACTTGTCGTCGCGGTACATGGTGCTGATGCGGTACAGCTGCTGCATGCTCAGCGCCGGACACAGGTCGCTGCTGATGTCCTCCAGTGACTTCTTGGGCTTCTGGTGTATCACCTGTGAGGGGGTCATGAGCGGGGAGGGGCATGCACAGCGGATGGGGGGTATGGCAGGGCAAAACTTGGGTTGATAGATGCGGTTGTTGATTGGTGGAACGGGCTGATGAGCGCAGGGCATGGGTCGCTGCTGATGTCCTCCAGTGACTTCTTGGGCTTCTGATGGATCACCTGTAGGAGGGGTCATGAGGGGCGGGGGAGGGGCATGCGTAGAATAGAGGGGGGACGGCAGGGTGAAATCTGGTGGGTTAGAGCGAACAGCATGTGGAGTGGCAGCATTAATCCCACCCAAGCGCATAAATAACCTTCATTGCAGCACAACCACGAGAAGCACACACAACATGCACGCAGCTGACAGGTAGCAGCACAGTGTGGCAGGCACAAGAGCATGGCTCATCAGAAAGCCAACAGCTTGGCGGATGAATCTAAGCTCTTCCCATGCAGAGCCCGCTTCACAAATCCACCAAGGTGACTTTTGAGTCTACTCAAGTGTCTCACCAGGAAGCCAACAGCTTGGCGGATGAACCTAAGCTCCTCCCATGCAGAGCCCGCGTACTCGTCCGTGGCCTCGTAGATCCACCGCTCCAGCTCTGCTAGACCCGCCTTCACGTACTCCCCGTTGCTAAACGAGCAGCACTCTCGGCGCAGCAGCAGACTGGCGAGGGGAGAAGGAGCGGGAGAGGGGGAAGAAGAGGGCCCCACGGTGCTTAAGGTGCGGGTTTGGCTAAGAGGGAGAGCACGAGAGGCACAACAGGCACGTGCAGCTACCATACACAGTACACATGGAAAAACAGCACGCGCACTGTTGAAGAGCTGCACAATGATGTAGGCAAAGGGAAACAGTGGCTGGAACGCAAGATGCCATAGCACATGCACACACCCACCCACCAACACTCGCCTGGCAGAGCGCACCTGTTGAAGAGCTGCACGTTGATGTAGGCGAAGATCTGAGAGAAGAGCTTGCGCACGAGGAAGGAGGATTGAGTTGAGTCACCTCGTAAACCCCCTGAAAGCAACCCCCTCCCTCCTCCCCTTTCACGCACCTGTTGAAGAGCTGCACGTTGATGTAGGCGAAGATCTGAGAGAAGAGCTTGCGCACGAGGAAGGCGGGCACGTGGTTGGCCTTGAGCGTGTTCAGCAGCTCTGTCAGCCGCGCTATGATGCCGCTCCACTGCGCCACTCCCGGCGCCGCTGCTGCCTGGCTCTGTGCGGCCGTGCGCGCGTCTGCTGCCTGTCCGCGCTGCTGCTGCCGCGTCATCACCCCCGGCCGGAACGACCGGCTCGCCTGGGTGAGAGGGTTAGGAGGGGGAGGTGAGGGGAGGGACACAGGGAAAGTGGTTTCACAGGCATGGCATGACAATGCTGGTCCACATGAACATCCCACGAACCTGGATGCAGGCAACGAGCATCTGGGAAATGTCCTTCTTGAGGTTGTCTCAGATGCACGAGTACACCTTCTCCACATGACGCTGCAAGCTGCTGCTTGAAGACAAGCACACAGAGAGAGCCCACAGGGACCCACAGGGACTCACCTGGATGCAGGCGACGAGCATCTGGGAGATGTCCTTCTTGAGGTTGTCGCGGATGGTGGAGTAGACCTTCTCCACGAACGCCGTGAGCTGCTGCTTGAAGAGCAGTGCGGGGAACTTGGGGTCCACTGCTTGCAGCCCGTCCGCCTGCACCGCACTCGCCTCGTCCTGCGCCGCCGCCACTGGCCCTCGGAACGACTGTTGCAGAGAGGTCAGGCGGGGAGGGGTAGGCGGAGAGGGATAGGCGGGGACGGGTAGGCGGGGAGAAGGGGCAGGAGGGCAGGCAAAGGTAAGTGCTGATGCTGGGCTGACACGCACAGCAACATGCAGGGCAACAAGCGGGGCAGCGAGCTGGGAAGCAGGCAGGGCGCACCTGAGTCATCCTGCCAAACAGCGACGTGGCAGCCTGCTGTTGGCGCCGCCGCTGCGCCTGCATCTGGCTCTGCGAGGCCCCCCCAGGGCGGAACGAGCGGTGCAGCAGGTGCAGCAGCGCCGACGCGTTCGACAGCCAGAACGCCAGCCTGTCCGCACTGTTGCTGGTGGTGCCGGTGCTGTCGTGGGTGTCCACGGCAACACTCATGGTCTGGATGATGCGGTCAAACACGTTGGTCTGCTCGGCGTCGAAGGAGCGCCAGTGCAGCAGCGCGCGGTAGAGCACGCATGCTGCCACGGGACGGTTGTTGTCGAAGCCCAGGTCTGACACCACAAACTGCAGCACTGCGTCTTGATCCGCCTGCCGTGAGAGAGGGTGGGGGAAGGGGAAGAGAAAGAGACGTGCAGCCAGGGAGGAGCAGTATTGGGAGCATTTTTTTATGCCAAAAAAATCGGTTGTTGTCCAAGCCCAGGTCTGATACCACAGACTGCAGCACCGCGTCTTGATCCGCATGCCGTGAGAGAGGGTGGGGAGGGTGGTGAGGGTGGGGGAGCGGGAAGAGTAAGAGAGGCGCAGCCAGCGGTGTCCTGTGTGCTGTGCATCCGTGTGTGTTGCATGTATGTGGGGATTTTGGAGACGTTTTGGCAAAAGAAAAGAGTGTGTGGATCGGAGGGTCTCAGAGAGGAGAGCACGAGAATCCTCAGAGCAGGATGGGAGTTGCTTGCATGGAGGTCTAAGCCGGAGCTGATTCACACTTGATCACACACACACACTCACCCGAAGACACCCCCCCCTTCTCCCTAGAGCTTTCCTTCTTCTCACCACCCTCTTTCCCCTCTTCCCCACCCTCCTTCTCCCCCCTCACCCCACACCCCTCCCCTCTCCACGTGTTCCCCCCTCCCCTCACCACGCACCCCTCTTCCCGCCCTTCCTCCCCACCTGCTGTCGCTCCGCCAGCACATGGTGGCGTTTCATCTCCGCCTCCTGAGACGCCGCCACCTTGTTCGCCGCCTCGCGAGCAGCAGGCAGCCCCACGGGCGGGGGCGACGGCGCCACAGCAGTGCCATGTGCCGCCATGCCGAAGAGTGCAGAGGACAGCCGCCCGGAGGGGGCGCGCTGAGGCGCGTGGAGTCCACCAGGCGCGGCGCCGTTAGCAGTGGCCGTAGCCATTGAGAGGGACTGGCGGCGCAGCACTTGGAACTCCCGCTCCATGCCCTGTAGGTGCTCCTGCAGCCTGGAGGTGCAGAGAGGCGGTGGTGGGTGGGAGGGAGTTCGTACAGGGAAGAATGGATGGCGAGAGAAACAGGGAAACGCGTTGCAACGGGCAGCACTTGGAACTCCCGCTCCATGCCCTGTAGGTGCTCCTGCAGCCTGTGGGGGTGAAGGGGCGTAAGGGTTGTGGCGAGCGGGGTATGCGGTTGTGAGAGGACTTATAAGCGAACCCATGTAGGGCATGGGGTTGTGAGAGAAACAAGAGAGCATGATGCAGAACAGCCAGCGGATTCAGCAGAACGTGGGTGTAAATGAAAGAGGTGAGCGCACTGTGCATGCAGAAGGAGTAGGTCACTTGTTGGCAAACATGGGGAGGCCGTTACTTGGAGAACAGGAGTGGGGCAGAGGCATAAGAGATCAGTCAGAGGGATCACTGTTATAATCCAATCTGAATACAGTGATGCCCTCCCGTGCTGAGGCTTCACATCGTTTGAGGTAGATGAAAGAGGAAAGAACCCACAAACACGGAACAGATAAGCAGACCGATCGACCACAGCGAACAGCTCAGCGCACCTGCCGCACTCGCCCTTGAGCGTTAGCACATCATCCTCACATCATCCTCCATTTCACTGAGACAACTTCTGAGGCGCCTCAACAATGGTCAAAACGCAACGCACCTGCCGCACTCGCCCTTGAGCGTTAGCACATCATCCTCCAGCTCCCGAATACGCTCCTCCCTGCGTGCGATCACCTCCTCCATGGCCGCCGCCCGTGAGTCCGACGCCTCCAGCGCCTCCTTCAGCTTCTCATTCTCCAGCATCGCTGCACTCGCCTGCGCCGCCGCCGCCACCACCGCCGCATCCACCACCACCCCGTTCATCCCCCCCTCCACCACACCCCCCTCCCCTGCTGCTGCTCCCTCGCCCTCCCACGGGCCTGCTGCCCCGTCCACTGCAGTCCCTCCATTGCCCACGGCAGCACCATGGTCCATGCGGCCTGACGGGCTGCTACCAGACAGCCGCGCGCTGGAGATGCGGGACAAGGGGTGCGAGAACGCAGGGCGCGCAGCAGGGGAGGAGGGACCAGCAGACGCACCACCACCACCGCCACCAGCACCAGCACCAGCAGCAGCAGGCAACAAGAGATCCACTGCCCTGGCACCGCCAGCGCCATGCTTGCCTGGCTGCGGTGGCGACACCATATCTCTGCCGGAGCGCGACGCCATGAGCACCGGTGATGCTGCCGCTGACGACGGCGCCGTGTGCGTTCCCGACGCACTGCGCCCTATTCTTGTCGCCTCTCCCCCTGCCACCCCACCAGCGGTTGCGCCCCCTCCCCCTCCTCCGCCTGCGCGCAGCTGTGCTTGCAAATGGTCCACCTGGGTGGTGGCGGTGTGCAGGTCTGTTTTGAGCTGCTCCATCTCCTGCTGCAGCCGCGCTATCTCCGCTGATTTCGCCTCCTCCAGGTCCGACTGCACGCACGCAGGGCGGATGATGCAGGGTGCAGAGGGGTGCAGGGGGGTGCAGGTGGGTACAGGAGGATGGGGGCATGGTGGGACGTGTGCCAGGTGTGCAGGCAAGTGTGCACTGCACCATACAGCAGCCCTGCTACGTGCCATGTCACACATGACATGACCACAGCCGCATAAACCAGCACTGCCCCACTCATCCCCACCCGCATCCCCTCAGCACTGCTATCCACCACACCCGTTCAGTGCTTCTCACCTGCATGCGCTTCTCACCTGCGTGCGCTTCTCACCTGCATGCGCTTCTCACCTGCACGCGCTTCTCACCCGCATGCGCTTCTCACCCGCATGCGCTTCTCACCTGCATGCGCTTCTCACCTGCATGCGCTTCTCACCTGCATGCGCTTCTCACCTGCATGCTCTTCTCACCTGCATGCGCTTCTCACCTGCATTCGCTTCTCACCTGCATGCGCTTCTCACCTGCATGCGCTTCTCACCTGCATGCGCTTCTCACCTGCATGCGCTTCTCACCTGCATGCGCTTCTCACCTGCATGCGCTTCTCACCCGCATGCGCTTCTCGAGCTGCAGGCGCCATGTGAGCTCCTCGCACTGCTTCTCCAGCCGCGTCTTTGCCGCCTGTAGCGCCCCCGTTTGCTTTGCCTCCTGCCACGCACAGGAGGGAGCCCGGGTGAGAGAGGGAGGAGAGGGAGGGAGAGAGGGAGAGGCAGAAAGGGAGAGAAAGAGTGGTGAGAGTTGATGTGAAGCTGCTGGTAGGGATTATGTCGTCTGGGAGTGGGCAAGTTGTGAGACCAGAGCACGAGAGGCACTGAACTAGGGCCGTGCGAGGTGAGCGAAGGGGAAGGGGCCGACACGTTGAAGTATAGGAATTTGAAACAGAAACAATGAAGCAACGAAACAGAATGAAAGATCAAGGCAATTAATGACAGTGGTGCAGTGGTGCCCAGGGCCCAATCTCCACAGATGCCTTCCCCTCATCTCCTTCCCCACTCCATCCACCCTGCCCAGCCATGACACCATCTCTACCTGAGCCGCCTTTCGAGCTGCCTTTTGACGCGCTTCAAAAGTCAGAAGTACACCACTTCTACTACCTGCTCTGGCCTATCCCCCTTGCCAGCTCGCCTTTTTTTTTTGAAGACCTTGCACAAACTATTCCCCCCTCTCTTCCTCCTTCCCCTTCCCCCATCCCCCCCCTATGCGCACGTGTTTGAGTCGCTTGAGGTGCAGGCGGGCTGCTCTGCCCCTCCAGGTGCACTGCAGCACCACCGCTGCTGCCCTCAGCTTCTTATACGCCCGCCGCTCCCTGTGCCCGCGATACCGCGTCTGAGGAGGATGAGACGCAGGGGGGAGAGGAGTGGGAGACCGGGAGCAATGGAAGAGGAGCAGCAGGAGGGGACCAGGAGGAGGGTGAGCGGGAGGTGAGGGCAGACAAGCATGCATGGTATTTCTAATTTCCGTAAGGCAAACAGCTGGCCACACGTGCAGATGAACATGATGGGGACAAGCAACCTTGCTCATTCTCCTGTCTGCCTCACACCTGCACACTCACCCGCGCCACCTCCCTGGGCCCCTCACCTCTCTCATTTCCCTACACCCTCTCAGGCTCCCACAACCCCCCACATCCCACGCACATTGCCGTCTCATCCGCACAACACACAGCACGCAAAGTACAGTGCATCTGTCATGGCCCTGCACGCACCTGAATGCGCGTGGCAGCAAGGTTCCGCCGTCTGCTCCTGGCCTCAGAGCGCGCGAACATGCCCCTCGCCCCCGCCTGCAGCGTCAGCACGGCGCGCTGCACGCGCGCGTACTGGCAGAGCGCCAGGTGCGCGCGGTAGTGCTTCTGAATGCGCACCGCTGCTGCCTCCCTGCGCCGCCGCTCATACTCCTTCCTGGCCGCCTTGCCTGGTGTGTGCAGGGGAGGAGAGGGGATGGGATGGGATGGGATGGAATGAAATGAGTGCGAGAGGGGGGATGGGTGCGAGAGGGGGGACGGGAGCGAGAGAGAGGCCGAGAGCGAGGTGGGGGGATGAGAGAAGGGGTGAGAGAGAAAGAGCTGGGAGGGAGCAGTGTCAGATGAGAGTAGGTGGAGGGGGACGGAGGGAGGAAAAGAAAAGGTGGTGGGAGGGTAAGTGCATAGGGACACACAAATGACACAAACACGTAGAACATGCACGTGCACCCACACATACACCCATGCACCCACACATGCACCCATGCACACACACATGCACCCATGCACACACACATGCACGCATGCACACACACATGCACCCATGCACACACACATGCACCCATGCACCCACACATGCACCCATGCACCCACACATGCACCCATGCACCCACACATGCACCCATGCACCCACACATGCACCCATGCACCCACACATGTACCCATGCACCCACACATGCACCCATGCACCCACACATGCACCCATGCACACACACATGCACCCATGCACACACACATGCACCCATGCACACACACATGCACCCATGCACACACACATGCACCCATGCACGCACACATGCACCCATGCACCCACACATGCACCCATGCACCCACACATGCACCCATGCACCCACACATGCACCCATGCACGCACACATGCATGCACCCATGCACCCACACATGCACCCATGCACGCACACATGCACCCATGCACGCACACATGCACCCATGCACCCACACATGCACCCATGCACGCACACATGCACCCATGCACGCACACATGCACCCATGCACGCACACATGCACGCATGCACCCATGCACGCACACATGCACCCATGCACGCACACATGCACCCATGCACGCATACATGCACCCATGCACGCACACATGCACCCATGCACCCACACATGCACCCATGCACGCACACATGCACCCATGCACGCACACATGCACCCATGCACGCACACATGCACCCATGCACGCACACATGCACCCATGCACCCACACATGCACCCATGCACCCATGCACGCACACATGCACCCATGCACGCACACATGCACCCATGCACGCATACATGCACCCATGCACGCACACATGCACCCATGCACCCACACATGCACCCATGCACGCACACATGCACCCATGCACGCACACATGCACCCATGCACGCACACATGCACCCATGCACGCACACATGCACCCATGCACCCACACATGCACCCATGCACCCACACATGCACCCATGCACCCACACATGCACCCATGCACCCACACATGCACCCATGCACGCACACATGCACCCATGCACGCACACATGCACCCATGCACGCACACATGCACCCATGCACGCACACATGCACCCATGCACGCACACATGCACCCATGTACGCACACATGCACCCATGCACGCACACATGCACCCATGCACGCACACATGCACCCATGCACGCACACATGCACACACACATGCACGCATGCACACACACATGCACCCATGCACCCACACATGCACCCATGCACGCACACATGCACCCATGCACGCACACATGCACACACACATGCACGCATGCACACACACATGCACCCATGCACCCACACATGCACCCATGCACACACACATGCACCCATGCACCCACACATGCACCCATGCACCCACACATGCACCCATGCACCCACACATGCACCCATGCACCCACACATGCACCCATGCACCCACACATGTACCCATGCACCCACACATGCACCCATGCACCCACACATGCACCCATGCACACACACATGCACCCATGCACACACACATGCACCCATGCACACACACATGCACCCATGCACACACACATGCACCCATGCACACACACATGCACCCATGCACGCACACATGCACCCATGCACCCACACATGCACCCATGCACCCACACATGCACCCATGCACCCACACATGCACCCATGCACGCACACATGCATGCACCCATGCACCCACACATGCACCCATGCACGCACACATGCACCCATGCACGCACACATGCACCCATGCACCCACACATGCACCCATGCACGCACACATGCACCCATGCACGCACACATGCACCCATGCACGCACACATGCACCCATGCACCCATGCACGCACACATGCACCCATGCACGCACACATGCACCCATGCACGCATACATGCACCCATGCACGCACACATGCACCCATGCACCCACACATGCACCCATGCACGCACACATGCACCCATGCACGCACACATGCACCCATGCACGCACACATGCACCCATGCACGCACACATGCACCCATGCACCCACACATGCACCCATGCACCCATGCACGCACACATGCACCCATGCACGCACACATGCACCCATGCACGCATACATGCACCCATGCACGCACACATGCACCCATGCACCCACACATGCACCCATGCACGCACACATGCACCCATGCACGCACACATGCACCCATGCACGCACACATGCACCCATGCACGCACACATGCACCCATGCACCCACACATGCACCCATGCACCCACACATGCACCCATGCACCCACACATGCACCCATGCACCCACACATGCACCCATGCACGCACACATGCACCCATGCACGCACACATGCACCCATGCACGCACACATGCACCCATGCACGCACACATGCACCCATGCACCCACACATGCACCCATGCACCCATGCACGCACACATGCACCCATGCACGCACACATGCACCCATGCACGCATACATGCACCCATGCACGCACACATGCACCCATGCACCCACACATGCACCCATGCACGCACACATGCACCCATGCACGCACACATGCACCCATGCACGCACACATGCACCCATGCACGCACACATGCACCCATGCACCCACACATGCACCCATGCACCCACACATGCACCCATGCACCCACACATGCACCCATGCACCCACACATGCACCCATGCACGCACACATGCACCCATGCACGCACACATGCACCCATGCACGCACACATGCACCCATGCACGCACACATGCACCCATGCACGCACACATGCACCCATGCACGCACACATGCACCCATGCACGCACACATGCACCCATGCACGCACACATGCACCCATGCACGCACCTCGCCACAGCGCCTGTGCTTTGACAGCGGCCTTCCTGAGCGCGAGGAAGCGGCGGCGCTGCAGCCAGCAGCGCGTGTAGCGCTGGATGACCCGCACGGCGGAGTTGAGGTGCTGCGTGCGCATGGCGTCTAACATCGCCATCTGCCCCGCGCGCAGAAACACCTTCGTCTTCCCCACCTGCCGTGCCATGGGAAAGAGAGACAGAGAGCGAGAGACATTGGGGCGGGAAAGAACAGGTGGTGGGGTATGTTGGTGCGCAAAGCATATTGTAAGGGTGCGGAAGGGGAAGAGAAAGAGGCGGTGGCCGCGCATGATTTCCGGACAGTCGTCAACCCAGGTCGGTGTCGTCAACCCAGGTCGGTTGCCGGGTCAGGCTGGCCCGCCAGGCGAATTGTAGCGGGCCCGGGTCACGCGGTCGAGCCCAGGTTCCAACAACCCATGTCGCACATGTCACTTCTTTCTTAGGTCACGGAAATACAAGCTCGAAACCTGATTTCGCATTCCAGCCACAGGATCCATCTTAGGTCCATCCAGCACCGCACCATCGGCTTTTTCATAACGAACAGGATGTGTGACATTGATTCAAAACAATACTTGCAGCCGTTTGGACTTTAACACTGGCTCGAGCGGGCCCGACCAAGGCCGAGCAGCCATGCTGGTCAAGCCATAGGAAAGGACCCCGAGCTGGCCCACAAAGACTGGAAGCAGCCCAGCCCGGAAATGACTGGGTTGGACCGATTTCCGCTTGGCCCTCGCTCATGGCTATTTCGGCATGAGTGGGTGTGAGGAGCGGTCGGAGAGGGTTTGAGTCGCCTCAAAAGTCATTTCGGCATGAGTGGGTGTGAGGAGCGGTCAGAGAGGGTTTGAGTCGCCTCAAAAGTCATTTCGGCATGAGTGGGTGTGAGGAGCTGTGAGGGAGGGTGCCATGGGGAGCACTGTTGGCGTGTGGAGCGGAGAGGCGGAGGGAGCAAGAGAAGTTTCCGGCGAGAGAAGGGGTTTGGGGCGGAAGGAGGGGTTTGGGGCGGAAGGAGGGGTTTGGGGCGGAAGGAGGGGTTTGGGGCGGGAGGAGGGGTTTGGGGCGCACCTGGAAGTTGGTTAGGCCGAGCTTCTCCAGCATGGCCTTGGCTGCTGACTTGTTGTCCTCGTAGCTGCATGCACGCATGCACACAGCACACACACACAGACACACACACACACACACACACACACACACACACACACACACACACACACACACACACACACACACACACACACACACGCCCATGCACCGCAACACATCCATGTGGGCGAATGGTGTTTGACAAAGACACGAAGTTATGTGTACACTCACCCACACGAGTGGGCAAACATGCGCATGCAGACGTGCACACAGGGGGTGAGAGGGGTCATAAAATTGAGCGACCGGCAAAGAGGTTACGTCAGTGGGAAGGAGAAAAAAGAGAGGGGGTGTGAAATAAGGCTGGAGCTTCATAGAAAGAAGAGAGGGCACGGAGAAAGAGAGAAAGAGGAGGCCCTTAGCCTGCCCACCTCTATACCACCACAGTATTGTGCTTGATTCAATTCGAAGCTCATCTCTCTGCCTTCCTACCTGAGCGGCTCACACTGGCGGACTTAGGCCGCACGAGGGGGCAAAAAGGCAAAGAAAACAGACCACAACCGAAGCAGGGCGGAGTACGTGGGGGTTTTTCCCACTTGCTGTGGAGACTTACGGGCTGCCCGTGTGCACAAGTGCTGGCCTTCCTCAAGCCCTTAACAGAAACAGAAGCAAGAAAGAAAGTGCTATAACGCAGAACCAACAACTTACCAAGCGGCAAAGTTACTGCAGCAGTTCCGGCAACGATGGGCGTTTGCGCTAAAGAGAGATCAGGCCCTGAGTGACATGATCAAATCCAGCGATGCAGCTATAGCCGAGAGAATCCTGCTATCGGCGGGCCAGAAGACACTCTCTCACCTGCGGACTGCTTCACTGTATTGGAGCCAGAGTTAGAGCTCCCTTAGGCAGTAGCCGCTCAAACGTACAGAGTTGCGCCATACCTTATGAGGCCGTAGCATATATATATATATATATATATGTATATATATGTGTATATATATACATATATATATACGCATGTGCTTGTATTTGAGAACAAATCAACGAAAGAGAGGGCTTAGGGTGCGAGGGGGGTCGGGACTCGGGTGGGGTGGGTGGGCAGAGGGGAGACCTGGAGTCGAGGAGAATATCTGGAGCGAGCATGGAGAAGCGCGAGAGGAACTCGTCAAAGGAGCGACGTGTGGGGTAGCCTGCACAGCTGATGCGAATGGCCTCCAGCACACCCTGCGAGTGGGAATTCGAGGGCGGGAAGTGAGTGAGTGAGAGTGAGTGAGGCGAGAAAGGGAAATAGACCAGACCAGACGCGGATCTGGAGGGTGTCCCGCGCGTCCTGCATCCACACACAGACACAACAGTGGTGTACGGCAGGAGGAGAGATGAGATATGGTGCTTGGGGCATGGGGGTGGTGCTTGGGGCATGGGGGTGGTGCTTGGGGGAATGAGGCACCATGCATGACGCACATAGGGATGCGTTAAAATGCATGGTGCATGGTGCATGTTGAAAGGAAGGAAAGAAAGGGTGGTTGGGAGAGGCGTCGCGACTGCGATGCTCATCGGACTGAGGGCGTATGTGCTGCATGCACCTGCAGATTGTCATGCACACTCTTATGTCCCTGCCATGCCTGTATGCTATGCCTCCCTCTCGTTTCCATGACCTGATGACCCCACTCCACCAACCCAATTCCTGCAACCCAACTTGCCCTAATTTTTTCTCAGCCAGCACCTTCTTTTGAGTCGAATCAAAAGCAAATCTCTCGGCCACCACCTTCTGACATCTCCTCTTCCGTCTTATCCCCTCCCTTCCCATCCCTCTTCTCATCATCTCTTCCCTTCCCATGCGTATGCGTCTCATCCCACCCCTGTGCATCTCACCCCTGTGCTTCCCACGCCACCCCTGCGCATCTCACCCCGCATCTCAGCTGCTGGATGACGTTTTGGTTCTCGAATGCGCCCGGGCGGTTCTTGCTGTTGGGCTTCACACACCGCACGTAGTGCGGCTCTGTCGTGCCCAGCGACGCCATCAGCTCCGCCAGTTGTTGCTGCCACCGCGCCACATTGCACCGCACAGTGGTTATAGCACAGGCCGTAGGGAGGAGGGGGGTTGTGTGTGGGGTGGGGAAAGGAACAGGGTGCAGGGAGCGGAGGGGCGGGAGAGAAGGGAGGATAGGGGGGAGGTTGAGGAGGAGGGGGAAAACAACAGGCGAATCTTGAAAAGGAACGGTAGAGACATCTAGTTGATTCAAGATGTATTCATGGTGGGTGGGTCATCATGCCCACTGAATGGTGGCAAATGCATGGGAGGCGGAGAGGACCGTGCGGTGCTGTGCGGGGCAGTGTGGTGCAGTGCGGGCGCACCTTGAAGCTGGAGCCAAGCGAGGTGAACTTGGTCTTGGCCTTCTCGCCGCCGGCACTGGGCGGGAAGAGCGAGACGACAAAGGGGTCCTTGGAGTTGCCCAGCAGGTCCTGATGCTCCGCCACCACGTAGTCCTTGTTCTTGTCCAGAAACAGGTCCGACTGGTACGTCACCTGGCCATGGGGCCGCGGGAAGGGGCGGAGAGGAGTACGAAGCATGAGGCATCGGCAGCATGACCAGTGACCAGGTGCTACCTGCCTGCCAATGCACGCTGCTCTGCTCCGCCACCACGTAGTCCTTGTTCTTGTCCAGAAACAGGTCCGACTGGTACGTCACCTGGCCATGGGGCCGCGGGAAGGGGCGGAGAGGAGTACGAAGCATGAGGCATCGGCAGCATGACCAGTGACCAGGTGCTACCTGCCTGCCAATGCACGCTGCTCTGCTCCGCCACCACGTAGTCCTTGTTCTTGTCCAGAAACAGGTCCGACTGGTACGTCACCTGGCCATGGGGCCCCGGGAAGGGGCGGAGAGGAGTACGAAGCATGAGGCATCGGCAGCATGACCAGTGACCAGGTGCTACCTGCCTGCCAATGCACGCTGCTCTGCTCCGCCACCACGTAGTCCTTGTTCTTGTCCAGAAACAGATCCTGGCAGGAGAGGGTTGGGAGAAGCAGAGGGGGCAGAGAGGTACGGAAGGAGAAGCACGGGCAGCGGGCAGCAGGCAGCGGGCAGCGGGCAGCAGGCAGAAGGCAGCAGCAGGCACAGAACATATCATGCGCTGTAACACATTGACACTGCTCCTACCACAGACAGCACACAACACAGAGTCAAGGCTGTGATGCCGTCACCAACCAAAGCACACCCCGAAACTATGACACATACCAACCCTGTTCCACACCTCTCTCTTTGCTCGCTGTCCCACACCCCCCCATCCCCCACCCACATCCCGCATAACCCATCGCCAGTCCCCCACCCCCATCTCCCACCCCAACCCCACCCCGCACCCCCCAACGCCCCCTGTGGGTGGGTATACGAGAGCGGCACCTGCCCGGCGTAGTGGTTGATGGTGAAGTCCGTCTGCGACAGCTTGGGCTTCTCAAACCGCGGGTGCTGCGCACACGTCTGGTACAGCTTCGTGGCGAACGTCTCCGCGTTCGACTTGGGAAACATGCTGTTGGCGGTGGGGACGTGAGGGGAGTAGGGGAGGTGGGAGGGGAAGGGGGGGAGGGGGAGGGGCGGGATGGCAGTGCAGCTCTGGTGGTAGGGTAACAGGCAGTGGTTGGTGGGTGGGGCAATGGGCAATAGGCCAAAGGGAGTGTGCGCAAGGTTGAATGCGCAGATTGTGTTATGCCGGAACTTTGAGTGAAAGGAAGGGTTTAGAGTCTTGGTTCTTAAAAAGATTTAGAGTCTCAATTCAGGACAAGGAGGACCAAACCAGGCAGGGAGGGAGGTGATTCACAGGGAGGGGGGAGGGTGCAGGGCAGTGTTGGGCAGGTAGAGAAGAGTGGGGCATGGGGACGGAAGGGCAGGGTGGGAGGAGGGGGCAGGGGAAGAGGTGAGGAGGGTTGGAGGAGGGGGTGGGGCACTGACCATTGTTCGTCTAGCAGTGATATGATGCCCATTGGTTTCTGCACACATTCACACACACACACACACACGCACACATGCACACGCACGCACGCACACGTGCACACGCACGCACGCACGCACACAGGCATGCACGCAAACACACACACCCACACACACACATACAAGCAAAGGCAGGAAGATGCTCAGCAGGCAGGAAGAGGTACGCAAGGACAGGTGCGCCCATGGCGAGTGCATAGCAGGCAGGCACAGCACGTTGAGCTGACTTGATGCATTGAAATGGCAGAAGCGGCAGGTGCGTGCGACATGCTTTACAACACTGGAGTGTGGGCAAGGGGGGAAGGGAGGCCATGCAATCAGCTGCACGCAAGGAGGAACAGAGGATGTCTCAAGGCACAAGGGTTTTAAGATTCACTTAGAATCAATCGCCCCTTTCCTCGTTCTCCTCATCTGTGTGAGAGAACATTACTCGTATGGCATTCACCTGTGATTGCTTGTTTGCATAAAACCTGTTCAGGAAGGAAGGGGCTGTCAGCTAGTTTTGCAACAGATCTCTGGATATGACCATGACCGTTTGTGAGCAGGCAACACAAGACCGGCGACCTGCGCTAGCACACTGGCGGGAAAAGAACGCAGCAGTGGTCGCAGCAGCGGCAGAAGCAGCAGCAGCTGTGTTGGTGCGCGCCTTCTGAATAAGCTATCAAACACGGCCTAGTTGTCCACCAGCTTGATGTAGCTCCAGTCAACCAGCCAGCACATGACGATTCTTCACAGACCCTCCTAGGCTCTTGCGCTCTGATACCGCATACAGCAGCCTCTCCCTGGCTGTCAACCTCTTGGGCTCTGAATCTAATACCGCAGCTTCTCAATGCGCCCCACCCCAGCACGTCCTGGTTCACCACATACAAACTCGATGTAGCTCCAGTCGGGATGATGCATGGGGCCCAATCAAACTCACCAACCCACTCCTCAACCGAGCATGCATGCATGCATGAGCACCTCCACAAACTCAATGCACCTCCACAAACTCAATGTACCTCCAAAAACTCAATGTACCTTTCAATAAATGATGCATGGCACGATGAAACTAACCAACCCACTTCCTCAACCATGCATGGTATGTATGCACGAGTATCACCGAACACCCCCCACTACTGCCCGCCTACCCTTACCTTCTCTATGAGCTCGAGCACGTCCTGGTTGTCCACAAACTCAATGTAGCTCCAGTTGATCTCCTCTCGCTCGTACTCCTCTTGCTCCGCCTTGAACACGTGCTGGTGGGTGGTGCGAGAGCGGGTGGTGTGAGAGTGGGTGGCACGGAGCGGAGGGGGCATAAGGGAGTGCGGAAGAGGCAGTGGGACGGAAAAACGGGTGCAACAATTGGCATACGGCATACGGAGAGGCGAGCGAATGCACGTGGACGACACCGGTCCTTGATGGCTTTTGAGGCACCTCAAAAGGCAAGTACAAAACAACGCTTGGCGCATGGGACATGCAGAGTGATGGCCCGTGTAAACACCAGTTCGTGATGGCATGTGGATCAGTGACACGAGATGAGATGGCCCAGCCATGCAGGCAACGCTTGGGTGTTGTGAAGTGCAGTACTGGAATTCAAGCAGTCTGATGTGAAGCCAGCCTGAAAGCCCTGCTGCAGCAGTCTACGAATTGCAGTGCAGTGCGGGGCGGTGTGGTGCGGTGCACACAGCATAGCAGCGGAGATGAGCAGGGTACCTGGTTGAAGTGCTGCTGGAGCTTCTCGTTTGCGAGGTTGATGCAAAACTGCTCGAAACTGCCGTGTCACCATGCACACACACCCAGACACACACAAACGCGCGCGCACGCCCACACACACAGACACACACAAACGCATGCAATTGCGAGAGGCACACAGACACACACACACACACACACACACACACACACACACACACACACACACACACACACACACACATGCACAAGCAGTAAAGCACAGTGGCAGGTTATGATGCACGCGCTGGTATTCATGCAAACACACAGATATGCACTTCATGACAAATACTCGGATGCCACGGCACACACAGACCAAACAAACAACACAGAAACGCAGCAACAGCAAGATGCCAATGCTAGGCTGAACCAGCATGACTGTGTGTGTGTGGCATCACGACAGTAACACCACTGCATGCAAGCTGAGCACCACCGACTGGAGCACATGGGCCGAGCGATAACACTGCACGCTGACCAACCACACTCTCGAGAGAGAGTGATGGGAATATGGGCACTCGTGCTCACGTGCACGCGTCTTGCTGGTTCAGGCGCTGGGGTGAGGCTATGGTGTGGGGTACCCGTGAATGGACGGGACATGGTGAAGATGGAATAGCAAGCGGAGGAGAAATGGAAAACGGAGGGGATATAGAAAGCGGAGGGGAAATATAAAGTGGAAGAGATGGAGGTGAAACAGTTGACGGTAGGGGGTGTGGGTGGTGGTGGGGTTGGGGACGGGAGTGGGGGAAGGGTGGGGAGGGGAATGGGGGAAGGGTGGAATTGGGAGTGGGGGTAGGGTGGGGATGGGGGGTGAAGATGGGAATGGGAGAGGTGATGGGGTTGAAGTTAACATTGGAGGTGGGGGAGGAGGGGGTGTGATAGTGACCTGTTGAACTGGAAGGTCTCGAAGCCGTAGATGTCAAGCACACCAACGATCGACGCACAGTCGGGGTCTTGCCCTATGGACTTGTTCACCTTGTCCACTAGCCTGCCGTGCATGCAAGGAGAACGAGATGAACAAACAGACAAGAGTACTTCTGAGACATTCACGCAGCTGGGCACGCCAATAATGGTCTTGTCTTGGGGTTGGGGTCCTGCCCTAAAGACTTGCCCACGTTGTCCGCCAGCACCTGTCCGCCAGCACCTTAGGACAAGTCCACCGCCATGCACGCATGAGTGGAGAATGCACAGCATGCGGCATTGGGGGGTGATGGGCACAGGGGTATGTTTGGGCCACGGCACGGCACAAGTGAAACAAAGGCAATGGGATACAAAGAAAGGGAAGCAACAGCACACAGCAGCAGCACACAGCAACAGCAGCAGCGGGTGCACTGCAGCAGTGAGCAGCACGCACCAGTCGAAGAGGCGAGAGTAGATGGTCTTGGCAAGCGTGTCTCGGCTGGAAACTTTTGAGTCGACTAAAACATCCTATCATCACAAGCGCTTTTGAATCGACTAAAACAGCAAGCAGCAGGCAGCGCGCACCAGTCAAAGAGGCGAGAGTAGATTGTCTTGGCGAGGGTGTCTCGGCTGACGACGGCAGCAGCGGGGTCCAGGTCCTTCTTGATGTTGCCGTCCCGAGTCACCAACGTGCGCGTCAACAGCGACTCTCGTAGCTTCTTCTTCTCACACCTGCACACACACACATACATATGCACACACGCACGCACATGCAAATTCACATCCCCGCATGCATGCACGGGGGGGGGGGGGGGGGGAAGTCATGGCCACAAACAGTGAAGGGCGGGCTGCAGGCGAAGCTTGATAAAATGTGACTCAAGCCAATGTGACAACAGTGCTCTAAGGTGCTTAAAGGTGCTGCGAGGTGCTACCACACATGCAGCTAGGTCAGACGCATGCTGGGTGCCGCGCCCACCCTTCTTCGCTCCTCACACACCAATGTCTTACCTGCCCCCCCCAAGCTCCCCCTCCCCACCTTCGCACACACCTAAACCCCAACCCCCACCACTGCCTCTGCACCCACACCTCCCCACCCCGTCCCCCTGCCTTCCCACCACAGCAGCCCTTGCAGCTGTTTACCTTGTGGGTGCGTGCGCCAGTGCGTGCTAGTGGTCCGCGTGGTAGCCACATGCGATGCAGTAGCGGTGGCGGTGGAGGGCCAGAGGCAGGCAGAGTGGGTCACTCAGTGCATGTGGCGTGGTGGGTGGGACCGTGCACGAGGGGTGGGGGCCACTAGAGCAGCGCACCTGAGCAGCTCTGCAACGGCTTCGAGGTGGAACCGGGACTTGTCGCCCTGCAGCTTGGACCATTCTGGCTGCTTGCTAGCTTGCTTGCCTGGTTATGGTGACTACTAAGGTACGAACCAACCCAATCGAGCACAAGCACTGCACCCCTGTCCGCTAGCCTCACCTGAGCAGCTCTGCAACGGCCTCAAGGTGGAACTCAAACTTGTTGCCGTGCAGCTTGGACGAGTCTGGCTGCTTGCCTGCCTGCCTGGTTATGGTGAGACCTAAGGTACGAACCAACCTCCGCGAGCACAAGCACTGCACCCCTGCCTGCGTGCTAGGCTTACCTGAGCAGCTCTGCAACGGCTTCGAGGTGGAACTTGGACTTGTCGCCGTGTAGCTTGGACGAGTCCGCTGCTGTGCCCGCCTTGAACGTGATGTTGCCCAGATGCAGAATGGCCGCCACCACGCGGAATATCGACTCCTGTTGCGGGCGGGTGAGGGGAGGAGAGGGCGGAGGGATAGCAGGAGGGAAAGGGAGGTGAGTGAGGTAATGTGATGTTGTACGGTGCAGAATGGCCGCCACCACGCGGAATATCGCCTCCTGTTGCGGGGAGTGGGGAGAGGCAGGGTCGGGGAAGGCGGGAAAGAGAGAGAGAGAGAGAGAGAGAGAGAGAGAGAGAGAGAGAGAGAGAGAGAGAGAGAGAGAGAGAGAGAGAGAGAGAGAGAGAGAGAGAGAGAGGGAGCAATGAAGCTAGATGGATGGAGAGGGGTTGGTGGGGGGACGTGATGTTGCGCAGATGCAGAATGGGCACCACCATGCGGAAGGTATAAGGTGGGGAAGGGTAACGAGGGGGGTAACGACGGGTAACGGGGGGTGGGAAACAGGAGGGAGAGCAGGGATAAGGGCTGTGCGTGTGAGGATTGGGTTAATTGAATTGCAGGGGGGACGAGGGGGAGAGGGGGAGGGGGGGGGGGGGGTGGGTTTTTGCGTGCTTGCCACACGTCCTTCTGCTTCAACCTGATAATTACTGTAACAAAGCAAAGTCTGCTGTACCCTCACTCGCCAAATCCCCCACGAATCCCCCACGCACATCCCAAGCAACCCCCACACTCCCCCCCCCCCCCACACAACCCCCCCGCGCTCCCCACTTACTCCCCATGCCCTCTCTCGCCCACCTCCCCCCCCACCCCACGCACCTGTTCATTGAGGGTGAGAGCCACAGCCTTCCATGGCACGGCGGGTCTTCTGGTACTCCACGGCACAACACAACCCCACGCACCCTCCACACACATCCCGCACCCGACACACATCCCACACACTACACACATCCCGCACCCTACACACATCCCACCCCCTACACACACCCCAAACCCTACTCACAAACAATCCACCCCCTACACACATCCCGCACCCTCCCCCCATACAGCCCCCCCTCCCCTCCGCACCTGTTCATCAAGAGTGAGCCCCACGACCTCCATGGCGCGGCGGGTCTTCTGATACTCCACGGCGTTGGAGTCCTTGCCGGGGATCTCGTAGCAGTTGCTCTGGTTCAGGTAGTGGTACGTCTCTGCCGCCCCCAGCTTCAGCCGCGCCCGCTCCTGCTCCCCACCCAACCCACCGCCAGGTTCCGAAAGAGAGGGAGACGGACGGACGGACGGAGGGACGGACAGCGCGGGGAAGGAAGCACGAGAGCAAGGGGCGGGAGGGGTGGAGGGCGGGTGGGGCAGAGGGGTGGGGTGGGATGGGGTGGGGGCGGAGAGGGGTTAACGGGGCGCAGAGAGGAGAAGGGGGGAGCGGAGACGCAGGTGCCGTTTGTTAGAGACGGGAGAGGGGGTTGCAGAAGCACCGTGAGTCGAGAGAGCAGCAAGGCAGGCACGCGGGCCCCAGCGGTGGGTGGTCGGGGGAGGGGGGGGGTTGGCTGTGAGGAGTGGAGGCAAAGCAATGCACGTCAATTGTGAAACACAACACAGTGCAGTGCAGTGCAGCAGCGCACCTCTTCAGAAGCACCGCAGCAGACTTGGTAGAAGGCGTGGTAGTTGCGCTCGGGGTCTGTTATCTGCACCACTCTGGACCGCTCCAGCAGGTACGTGCGCACTGCCGCCCCCGATATGCGCCCCGCCCGGTCAAACTGAATCTCCACGAACTTGCCAAAGCGACTGGTGGAGGGGGGAGGGGGAGGGAGGGGAGGGGAGGAGGGTGAGGAGAGTGAGGAGAAGCGAGGGAGCAGGCTGGGGAAACGGGAGAAGGGGGGAAAGTAGGAGGACAGGGAGGTGTTGAATGTAAGGGAAGAATGGATGGGGGGACGAGAGAGGAGGTGGGCGGGCAAAGGAGAAGGAGGGTGGAGAGAAGGGTGACGGGTTATGTGGAGGAGTGAGCTTGCCTGGAGTTGTTGTTGCGGACAGTCTTGGCATTCCCAAAGGCCTCCAGCAACGGATTCGACTGGCACGCACACACGCAGACAGACAGGCAGGCAGGCATGGGAAAAGGAATCACAGTTTGAGCAGAGGACAAGGCACATGAAGCAGATGGCAGGAGTGCGAGTGAAATAGGTGGAGGTCCAACAAACAATGGCATGCGAGCACGCATGCACCCTTCTCGCAAACACACATCTCCAGGCATGCCATGCCATGCCATGCCATGCGATGCCATGCCATGCCATGCCTGCACAGACGGCATGGCAGTGCGAGCAGAGCAGGTGTGTGCAGAGCATGGGTGCAGCAAGGGCGCAGTGACCTCTCAAGGTGACCTTGGAGTAGAGAAAAATGGCAAGGCAAGGGAGCACGCACCTCAAGGACTTGGGACTCGATGGTGCGGCCGTCGGAGGAGGCGCGGCCTCCCATGTAGGCGAGGTACTGCATGATGAGCTTCGTGGTCTCCGTCTTGCCGGCTCCACTCTCCCCACTCACCAGGATGGACTGGCTCGCCCCATAGTCCACCATCGCCCTGCTTGATGCCCATGCCCATGCACATGCACACAAGGATATGTACACGCACATGCCCGTGCCATGCCCATGCCCATGCCCATACACACGCACACGCACATGCACGAACACATGCACGCGCACACGTAACACACACATATGCACGCATACATACACGCATGAACGCAAGTGCGACTGCAATGACACGTGCCCATAAACATGCACACACCAGTGCGAGTGAACCCAAGTGTACATGTGAAAGAAACATCCGGCACCCGGCACACACATACATCCTTAGGATGCATCTCCTCCCTCCCCACGATTGATCCTGCGCATGATCGATCCTGAGGGTGTATGAGATGAGACAACTGTTATGTCGGAGAAACCCCTCTTGCGTTACCTGCTTCTGTCCTTGTACTCCTGCTGCTTTCTCCTTCTCACCCTTGCATCTATCTTGTCCCTGTCCCCTGGTTCCCTTCTTCGTACTCAGCCACTACCATTTTGTGAGAGATTTCCGCTCCCACTCGATGGCTGCCCACAGTGGTTTAGAGCTACCTAGCTGGAGTTAGCTTGAAACGGCAACTTCAATCCACTATACGAGGCAAACAAACGAGAGAACAGGGATGCGATTGCTACCCTAGGCTACTTTATTCACCCTCAACCGTGTTGCCAATTTCTTGGCGAGTGAATTGGGCTCGAGTCGCCTGGGCCTTGGATTGGCCGATCCTGATTTCCTGTCTCTCGAGGCTTTCTGAATCCAACCCCTTTGTACCCAGCAGTGCCCTATTCTACCAACTTCGCGTCACCCTCCAGAACCCAACCAACCCTCGCTGAAACTGAATACTACAAGCTACACCCCTCTACACCTCACAAGCATGTAACAGAACATAATGCTTTTACCTTTATGTTCTGTGACAGCTGTCGGAGAAACCCCTCTTGCGTTACCTGCTTCTGTCCTTGTACTCCTGCTGCTTTCTCCTTCTCACCCTTGCATCTATCTTGTCCCTGTCCCCTGGTTCCCTTCTTCGTACTCAGCCACTACCTGCCCCCTCCTGTGCTCGTGCTCAAGCCGCTCGGGCCCGAGACACAGGACTTCCCAGCTGAGGACGGCTGCTCTTCATCCGTGCCTTGTGGGTCTGGTTCCTGCCACGGTCAGCTCTCTCTTCGTCTTCTCCAGCTCCAGTACTCCCACACTTCGCCCCGCTTGCACCCGCCCCCTCTTCTGTTGTCCTCCTTTGTCCGTCTCTGTCCGCCCTGCCCCTACAGCTTCTTCTGTCCCCCTGCCACCCAGCTGCTGCCGCTGTTCATAGCTGCACGCATCCCCCATCTGCACCACATGTAGGTCCTCCACCGATGCCAGTATCACTTCCTTCAGGTGTCCTACTGCCTTGCCTCCCTCCCAGGCCGCCCACTTCTCAGCCTCTTCCATTCCCCTGGATTCTGACAGCACCTGGGATGCTAGCCGCATCGGCTCATCTGCCCATGTTCCTCCCTTAATCCACCTTACCGTCTTCACGGCCTCTTCTGCTTCCTGACTCGTCGCATTTTCCATTGTATGCTGCCTTTCTTCCCCCACAGGCAGGCACTCCCATGCCCCCACTTCCTTGCTCTCCCTCTCTGCTTCCTCTTGCTCCTGGGCTTTGTCCCACACTGGACCTTCCCATCCTCCTACCCGTAGGTCTCCTGTCCCCCAGTCGCACGCCATCCCTACTTTTATGCTCCTCACACCCGTCTCAGCTCCTCTCACGGCTTCTTTCACCATTTTCTCCCCCAGCAGCTCCGGACGTTCTTCCCTCAGCTTCCTCACATGCTGCTCCGCCCTCATACTTCCCTGCACTTGCTTCTCTGCCTTTAGTACACACGGTCGTGCCCCCACCTTCTCGTCCTTCCGTTCTGCCTCTGCTACTGCAGGTACACACGCTCCCGCCCCCACCTGCTCTTCCTTTTCCTCTGCCTTCGCTGCTGCTGTTACACACACACCTGGCCCCACCTTCTCGTCCTTTTCTTCTGCTTCCGCTGCGCTGTTACACACGCTCCTGCCCCCACTTGCTCGTCCTTCTCCTCTGCTTCTGCTGCTGCTGGTGCACACACCCATGCCCCCACTTGCTCGTCCTTCTCCTCTGCTTCTGCTGCTGCTGGTGCACACACCCATGCCCCCACTTGCTCGTCCTTCTCCTCTGCTTCTGCTGCTGCTGGTGCACACACCCATGCCCCCACTTGCTCGTCCTTCTCCTCTGCTTCTGCTGCTGCTGGTGCACACTCCCATGCCCCCACCTGCTCGTCCTTTTCTTCCGCACCGGCTGCTACCAGTTCACACGCCCCTGCCCCCTCCTTCTCGTCCTTCTCCTCCCCTTCTGCTGCTGCCCATGCCCCCACCTTCTCGTCCTTCCCTTCCGCGCCTGCCGCTACCGGTTCATCCGCCCATGCCCCCACCTTCTTGTCCTTTTCTTCCGTTTCTGGTGTTACTTGCACACACACCCATGCCCCCACCTTACTCACTTGCTTCCTTCGTCTGTCCCTGCCCCCACTGCTCCACCCCAGGTTTTCATGGCGACGCAGCACCGCACAGGAGTGCTCTGGCTCCTGCTCCTCTTCCTCCTCTTCCTCCTCTTCCTCTTCCCTCGCGTACACTCCTGGTTCTTTCTCCTTCTTGCCTCCCAAAGCCTGCAGCTGAGCCCGCAGCCTTCCTATCTGTGTTTCTATCTCCTCTTGTGACCTCCTTGCTCCCCCAGTCCTCTGATAGCAGTCCTTCTGCTGATGCCCCCTCTTCCCACACACTTCACAGGTTGGCGCGTCAGGGCAGTTCTGACGGCGGTGCCCTGGTTTCCCACACACGTCGCAGTTCTTGCACTTCAATCTTACATGTCCTGGCTGTCCACACCTGTAGCAGGTCTTCGTGTCTGTCCTTCTCTCATATTGCTGCTCCTCTCCGCCTCCCACCCCCGGTATCATTGCTGCCGCCCAGGTGGGTCGCATCTTCTCAGCCACTGTTGGCAGGTATGCCTCATAACGCCTCTGTGCCAGCTCCACCTTTTCTGTTAGCTCAAACACTTCCTCCAGGCTTGCTTCTGCCCCCAGCTCGTATACTCTCATTATCAGTCCTCCGGCCAGCCCGTCGTCCAATCCTGCCAGGAACTTACTAATCAGCATGCTGCTGTCGGTACACACCACATCCTCGGCCAGGTTCATGAGCCGCCCATAATACGTCAGCAACGACTCATCCTTCCTGCATTTGAAGTCCTGAAACTCCCTGATTCGCGCTGCCGTGTGTCCTGGGAATTGCTTGCGCAGCCGCTCCAGGAACAGTGACGTAGGGTCGTCCCCATCCTCCTCTGCCCTCCTCAGCCACTCATGCATCTTCATGCGATACAATGTTTCTGCTTCCCCACCCAAAGTGTTCGGCAAACTCAAAAAGAAGTCGATGGGGTCCATCCCACTCCGATCGCACCTGTACTTGACATTCCCAATCTGCATCAGATAATTCTTTAGATTAGTGCTTGTCCCTCCATTACCCATGAAACGCACTGGCACCTCTACTTGTGGTGGCGCCGGCATGCCCCATCTCCCTGAGTCCCAGGTTCCTGTTGCTCCTCGCTCCGCGCGGCTAACTTCTCCTCTGTGCTCCCTCATTCCCCTGCTGCCTGTGCTTGTCCCACACAGCACCCTGTCTATCCCTTCTCTAGCAGCTCTGGCTTCGCTAGATCCTTCTCCTGTCTGCCGTGGCCTCCTGGGGCCCCTCGGACTCGGACTCCTTCTCTGCTCCTCCTCGTGAGCCTCTCTTCGCCCGCCTGCTTCCCCCCATCGCCTTTCTCTCCTCTCAGGCGAATAATCCTGGAATCGCCCTTCTCGCTTCCTCCTTTCCCGCTGCTGCTGGTCCTCTCTCTCACGAAACTCTCTCCGTTCTTCTTGCCTGCTCCTAAGCCCTTCTCTCCTTCCAGGGATATATTCTTCTCAGCTTTCCTCCCTTTGTCTTGATCCATGGCGTGCCCGCCTGTCACTCTCTTCCTCTTCCCCGCTCTCTGTTTCATACTTGTGCATCCCCTCCCGTCGCATGTGCTGCTTGTCACCTCTCTTCCTCTGTCCGCTCAGGTCCTGCTTCTCCCTCACCCCCACTCCAGGTTCCATTCGCCCTTCTCGCCTTCCCCTGTACCCCTCTCTTTCTTCAGGGCATGACTTCTTCTCCCGCCACTCCGGCTTCCCGCGTCGGCGCCGTTCCAGATCATACCCATTGTCCTCTTCTTCACTGTACTCATGTTCCTTCTCTTCACGCAGCTCCTCATCACTCCTTCTCATCTTCTCCCTCCACTCCTTCCTCTCAAGGGACTCTCCTTCACAACGTCTCCCTCGTCCGCCTGCTCCTCGGCGCTCATGATCCTCTCTTCCTCTTCCTTTGTCACTTCCCGGGTCCTTCCCTGGGGACACCTCTCGCCAGCAGCGCTCTTCCTCACCCCTTCTCCTGTTTATCTCTCTCTCCTGCCTCCCCCTTGCCTCTCCGGCAGGATCCTGCACCAACCCCGCTCCCGCGCATGGGTACTCTTCTACTCCTTTCCGGCGTGTTCTCGCATCTGCACCCGTGATGTACTGCCACCAACACACACTGCCGTTAACACGTGCTTCCCTCTCCTCCGTCCGCTGCCTTGCACGCGAGCGCCGCGCGCGCCTCTTCTCGTGGGCGTGCTCACTTCCTTCTCCCCCTTGCTCTGGTGATCGCCATCCGCCCAACGCCATGCGCCTCCTGCGCTCATGTCCGCGTCTTGGCTCAGGCGAGCTATACACTCCCGCCTGCACGTCTCGCCTCCTTTCTTCCTCACGGCTGGCACCTGGCGCGCGCTCAGTCTCCTTGCCTTCACCGCGCCTCGCGTTACTTCCGCGCAGCCTGCCTGGCGAGCGATCCGCATCCGCGCTCCCGCGACGCCTTGCGCCATTCTTAGGCATTTCGCCCGCCGAACTGTCTACATCCGCGCTCCCGCAGCGTCTTGTGTCATTCCCGCGCATTCCGTCAGTCGAACCGGCTGCATCCGCACCCCCGCGGCGCCTCGCACCCCCGCGCATTTCGCCAGCAGAACGATCTGCATTCATGCTCCCGCGGCGCCTCGCACTTCCCTCGCGCATCTCTTCTCGCGCCCAATTTGCTGCCATGTCCTCGTGGCGCCGCGCACCACCCCCGCGCATCTCGTTCGCCGAACGATCTTCTTCCATTACACATCCGCGTTCTTCGCGTCCATCTCTGCCATCACTTTGCAGATCGTCCTCTTTCGCATCCGCCCGTTCTTCTCCGCGGCGCCTCGCGCCATTCCCACCCATTTCGTTTTCGTCCGTCGCACCAGCTGCATCCCCGCTACCATGAAGCCTTTCGCCACTCCCATCTGTTTCGTCCGTCGCACCAGCTGCATCCGCGCTCTCGCGGCGCCTCGCGCTTCCCTTGCGCCTGTCGTCCGGCGAGCAATCCGCCGCTGTGTTCCCTCAACACCTCACTCTGCCTTCTTCACACATCCCCTCTAATGCAGGATCTATTTCCGCGTCGCTATTACGCTCTTCTGCACCTTGATTCTGCAGATCTGCCTCCTCCCTGCCTAGGCGTTGTTCCCCGCCACCCCGCGCAGTGGTGACACCTTCGCAATCTCCCTCGTCGTCAGCCTTCCTTGCTGATTCCGGCGAGTCCGTCATATCCGCGTCGTCATGACGCCCTTCTCCCGCTCCTTGCTGGCCACCTGCCAGATTCCAAGGATCACTTCCGGACGGACGAGGCCTGGGCTCCGCCTTCGCATGCGGATCGCCCTGGCTTCCTCCTCGTCGCCCTCGTATGGGTGAGCCCCCATCCGCGCGGTACGCCGTCCTCCGTGGCGAACGCGTCCGCGATCTCCCGCGCTCCAATGAGCGCATCCTCCGCGACGGTGAAAACTCCCGACGCGAGTCCATCTGCTGCCAACGCAGCTCGTGGCAGTCCATACCGCCAAACCTGTTCTCTCGTTTGTGAGAGATTTCCGCTCCCACTCGATGGCTGCCCACAGTGGTTTAGAGCTACCTAGCTGGAGTTAGCTTGAAACGGCAACTTCAATCCACTATACAAGGCAAACAAACGAGAGAACAGGGATGCGATTGCTACCCTAGGCTACTTTATTCACCCTCACCCGTGTTGCCAATTTCTTGGCGAGTGAATTGGGCTCGAGTCGCCTGGGCCTTGGATTGGCCGATCCTGATTTCCTATCTCTCGAGGCTTTTTGAATCCAACCCCTTTGTACCCAGCAGTGCCCTATTCTACCAACTTCGCGTCACCCTCCAGAACCCAACCAACCCTCGCTGAAACTGAGTACTACAAGCTACACCCCTCTACACCTCACAAGCATGTAACAGAACATAATGCTTTTACCTTTATGTTCTGTGACAGTTACGTGGCATCGCAGCTTTCAGGGTTACCTAATCTCGCAGCCGTTAGCAGCAAAGAGATTCACACGATCATGTCCTCTCCGGTTTTGCGATCGATGTGCATCCTTGCCCACACCAATCTCGGCTTTTTGACGATCAATGCGGATGCCCCTATTTTTGTCCCCTGAACACCCGACCCTGTCACCCTGCGATTGCAAATCTGCTGTCACCTCCTCCCAAACGTGCCCCAATCCTGCGATCGGTGTGGACGGTCAGTTTTTCACAGCAATCCTCCCTCGATCACGAGGCCAACACTCCTCACAGGCAGCACACGCATGCAACAGCATTCACCCTCACAGCACCATGCACCATACCACCATGCATCCTTGCCTCCCTGCCTGCCCACCTGCATGTGGCCTCTAACATGCTAGCATATGCGGCAACAGCTCCCCCAGGCGTGTGTGCTTGATTGAACCTCGGCATTGCAGCACGTGCTGTGTTGTGCTGTGCTGTGCTGTGCTGTGTCATGTGCTCGTCACACACATGTTGCACTCACAACAAGTGCACCTGGCATCGGCACACGCACGCTCACAAGCGCACACAAAGCATGCACAAAAGCACGCACACACAAGCACACCCACCCGCGGCCCGCCCGCCCGCCCACCCACCTGTACGCAGCCTCAGCAATGGCAAAGACGTGAGGGGAGAGCTCGCCTAGGCGAGTGCCCTTGTACTGCTCCATCATTTGCTCGTCGTACAGATGCGGCAGCGCACAGAACGGGTTGATCGCTATCAGAATGCTCCCCGTGTACGTCTGTGTGGCACTCACGCACAGGAGGGGGAGAGAGGGGTGGGGAGTGGAATAAGAAAGAGGGGGAGTTGGTTTGAGGATGGTGGATGATGGGCAGGCGGAGCAGAGCAGATGATGGTGTGTGGCCACTGTGACATGTGGTGGTGGTTTTTTAGTCGACTCAAAAGCATGTCGTGGTGGTGGTGGATGGGAGGGGGTACAGACGAGGCCAGTGTGGGAGGGGTGAGTGCTGTGCTAGTAGTAGCAGGGCGGCCGCAGCAACTCACGCTCAATCACTGCAATCCAGCACGTGCAGTGCAGCACCATGTGCAAAGTCACAACAAGTGCACCCCGTCATGGGTGCACCCTCACAAGTGCGCACACATCCACGCAAGCATGCACACACACAATCTCACAGCTATCCATGCTCTGCCTAGAGACACACACCAGACCTGCACTGCACACACACATACAGCAGCCAAACGCCACCGTTCCAAAAACTACCATCCCTCGTACCATCCCCCATACCCCCATGACCATCTGATTCACTGCATATCTCACGACTGCACACATGGATCGCATCAATAAAGCATCGCACAAAGAGACTGCGATTTCTTAATTGACTCAGCAACCATTTCTTATAGTAGAGCATTGTGGGAGGAGCGAGGGGACGCCTGTGGCAGACGCTAGGTGCGCACGTAGATCTCGTCGATGGAGTATCGTAGGAAGAGGTTGTGCAGCACGCCCGGCTCGTGCAGGTATGATAGCTTGGTCATGTCGTCCACCCCACAGCTCGGTGCATCCTCGTCCCGCGGATGGCAGTGCTTCAACCGAATCACGGTCTGCGAAGGTAGAAAGGGAAGAGAGAGCAGAGGGTGGAGAGCAGAGGGCAGAGAGCAGAAAGTAGACAGCAGGGGGAAGAGAGGGGAGAGGGGAGGGAGATCAAGAAGGGAGAAGCAGGGAGGAGAGAGATGCAGTGTTTCATGAGGGGAGTGGAAGAAGGCAAGAGAATCATCGATGTGGGTTGCAATGCTTCATATGGATGTCGGTGCAGTCGTTGCTTTGCTTGACGACGTCACCTGCGCCACCACAGAGAGCTCCACTCCACCAAATCTCTGGAGCACAGCAGCACGCTGTGAGACTCACAGATGGGTGCAATAAAGACCTGTCCTGAGACGTGTCCCATCCGTGCCCTTGCACCTGCCAGCGCAAGTGCAAGTGCAAGTGCAAGTTCAAGTGCAAGTGCAAGAACATGTGCCCTTGCACCTGAGTGCGCCTCACCTCCTTGCCCTTGTAGCTCACTGTAGCCTTCTTCTTCTCCATGGCTGTCACCATATAAACTTCCAACTCCCTCCGGTGTTACTTTTGAGAATTCTCAAAAGCCTCCACCCGATAATAGCTCTCCTTGAAGAAAATGATTCGTGTGCCATTGCAATGAGGTGGCTTTTGAGTCGACTCAGGAGCCACCTGCGTGCGCCTCACCTCCTTGCCCTTGTAGCTGACAGTAACCTTCTTCTTCTCCACGGCTGTCACCACGGCATCCACCCATGCCTCCTCGGGGTCCTCCACCCACACGTGCGACCCCACCACCACCACTGACGGCGCCTGCTCGCACCCGGGAGAGGCAGGAGGGGAGGGAGAGGGGGAGGGAGGGAGAGGTGGGTGGGGCAGGAGGCCAGGGCTTTGGCAAGATGGTAAGGGAAGGATGATGCACGCATGCATGGAATTACTGTGAGAGTGGGAGCAGGGAGGCAAGGCAGGGAGAGGAGGGGTTAGAGAGGTGCGTCTCCCTTCGTCTCCTCTATCATCGACACACAATCGGACTCTTATGGACTCATGCTCGCACTGTGGCCACTGTTACCCATGCTCCAACACCCTCCCTCTTCCTCTCCCCTCTCCCACTATCCTCCCAACCCCCCTCCTCCAACGTATTCCTCCTTTCCCACCTCCTCGTCTTCCTTCCCCACTCTCACTTCCCGCTCGTTCAGACCACCGCTGAAAATCTTCCAGACTCCCACCTGCCTCTCCGTTTTCCCTCCTCGCGATTACCCTCCCTGCCCTCTCCCTCCGCACATATCGCCCTGCACCTGCACGTTCAGCCACAGGAAGCACTCCTTCCATTCCGTCCACCCTAGACCCCAACCCTCCCCCCCCCCACCTCCTTTCCCCTCCTCTGCTTTCAACTTCTCTCCTTTCCAACCCTCTCCTTTCCCTCCTCTCCGTTCCCCTCCTCTCCATATCCCCCCTCTCCTCCCCCCCATCTCCTTTCCCTTCCTCTCCTTTCCTCCCTCTCCTTTCCCCCTACTCTCTTTTTCCCCCTCTCCTTCCCAACCCCTCTCCTTTCCCCCCTCCTCTTTTCCGCCCCTCTCCCTTCGTCCCCCACCTTCTCCTTTTCCCCCCTCTCCTTTCCTTCACCCCCTCTCCTTTCCCCCTCTATCGTTTCCCTCCTTTCCTTTCCCCTCCTCTCCTTTCTTCCCACCCCTCACGTTTCCCCCTCTCTCCTTTCCCCCCCCCTCTACTTTTCCCCATCTCCTTCCCCCCCTCTCCTTCATCCCCCCTCCTTTCCCCCCCTCTCCTTTCCCCCCTTCTCCTTTCCCCCACTCTCCTTTCCCCACCTCTCCTTTCCCCCCACCCCACCTCGCCGCCTCTCCTTTTCCCCTCTCCTTTCACCCCCGTTCCTTTACCCCAATCTTTCCCCCTCTCTCCTTCCTCCCCCTTTTCCCCCCTCTTCTTTTCTCCCCTCCTTTCCCCCTCTCTCTTTTCCCCTTTTTTCCTCCCCCCCTTTCCCTTCCCCCCCTCTCCTTTCCCCCCCCTCTCCTTTCTTTCCTCTCCTTTCTCCCCCCCTCTCCCCCCTCCTCCCTTCCCCCCCTCTCCTTCCCCTCCTCTCCTTTCTTTCCCCCCTTCTCCTTCCCCCCCTCTCCTTCCCCCCCTCTCCTATCCCTCCTCTCCTTTCCCCTCCTCTCCTTTCTTCCCACCCCTCACCTTTCCCCCCTCTCCCTTCCCCCTTCCTCCTTCCCCCCTCTCCTTCACCCCCTTCTCCTTCCCCCTCTCTCCTTTCCTCCCCTCTCCTTTCCCTCCTCTCCTTTCCCCTCCTCACCTATCTTCCCATCCTTCTCCTTCCCAACCCCCCCTCTACTTTTCCCCATCTCCTTCCCCCCTCTCTCCTTCCCCCCTCTCTCCTTCCCCCCTCTCTCCTTCCCCCCCTCTCCTTTCCCCCCACTCCTTCCCCCTTTCTCCTTTCGCCCCCTCTCCATTTCCCCCACTCCTTTCCTCTCTTCTCCTTTCCCCCCCTCTCCTTTCCATTTTTTTCCTTTCTCGCCTCTCCTTTCCCCCCTTCTCGTTCCCACCCCCCCCCTCCTTTCCCCCCCTCTCGTTCCCCCCCCCCTCTCCTTTCCCCCCCCCTCCTTTCCCCCCCTCTCGTTCCCCCCCCTCTCGTTCCCCCCCTCTCCTTTCCCCCCCTCCCGTTCCCCCCCCTCTCCTTTCCCCCCCTCTCCTTTCCCCCCCTCTCGTTCCCCCCCCTCTCCTTTCCCCCCCTCCTTTCCCCCCCCTCCTTTCCCCCCCTCTCCTTTTCCCCCCTCTCCTTTTCCCCCCTCTCCTTTCCCCCCCTCTCCTTTCCCCCCCTCTCCTTTACCCCCCTCTCCTTTCTCCCCCCCCTTTCCCCCTTCTCCTTTCGTCCATTCACTACGCCCGCAACACTACCTCGTGTCAACCCACTTCACCACCTCTCCCAGCCCGACCGCTTCTCCTCACCACCTTTGCCCTCGTGCCTGCACCCGCCGCAAGCACGCAACTGACCTAGACGCACCGGCGCTGCTACCACTCACTCTCCACCCTCCCGCGCGCCGGTGGGTGGCCTGGCAGCGCGGGGGGCGGCATCGAAGCGCCTTTGACGCGCGAAGCTTAGAGACTAATCGCACAAGCGAGGGCCTAAACGTTACGATGGCTCTTGTCCGACGAGCGACACGGCAGACGAGAGCCGTAAAAGTGGATTAGACGGCACGAACGCACGACGGCCGCACAGAGTCGCGAGGGCGCGACGCGTGGATCGTCACAGCACGCGCCCGCGTGATCTAACGGTTGAACGAAGAGCACGCACCATTCTCGCCGCGTGCTGCCAGTGGCGCCAGCACGAGGAGTTGAAATAAACGCGACCACAAGGCGGCTTTCAGTCAAACGATTCGCGCGTTGGCCTATCACAGACAGTCTTGGGACGCATGCAAGGCGCGACGCTGATTCGGGTTGCTCAAGGGGTTGGGCTACGCCATAGCTTGGACCGTTGAGCAACGCGAAGGCGTGAACTAGTCTAGCGGAAAATGGCACAATGGACAGAGTTGTGTGTTGTCAACTCCGTCGCAGTTGGATCTGCTATGTGGGTCTCGCTGATAAGCGCGAAAGTCTACATTGTTGTTATTATTCAAATCAATCTAACCCGTGAACTTGGTTGTACCGCATGAGGTCAGAAGCGCAAAAAGAATACGAAAATCTCTTTATGATTCCTGAAAGACAGTAAATACCAATGGTCAGGGCAAAGTATCTACTGGCCATGAAATCAGAGGCAAAAGAACAGCCTGTAAGCCCTGTAGGATGTGAAGTCAAACATGTGATGTCACGTACCAGCACCTGGAGTTCTCTGAGGTGTTTCACATCATGATCGTGTACCGTAGATGCAAATATTGCTGTTATGGTACCAAAGTGCATACACAACACCACCACAAACAATCTCCCTCCGTATGTACGGTACGTGCATGTTTGCAGATGTGCCTTGGAAGTTGGGATTGGAACGGTCAATTGACAGCCTGTTTATAGTACAGCTTTAGTTCTACGATACCAGCATGGCTGCCTGCAACCAATCCTTCCTAGTACAGCTTCTTCAGTGTCTGCATGCGTGCCTTCTTGGCGGCATGCTTCTGTGCCTTGGTCTCTGTCTTCTCTCGGATCGCAAGCGCCTTATCAAGCAGCTTCTGCTTCCTCCTCGTCTTGGCTCGTCGCTCCGGTGCCCCCTTCTTCCTGTCAGGTGGCGTGTGGGTGTCAGGTGGAGTTCGAACAATATTTGTTCACAAATGAAAATAGCAGATGACTGAATGAAAATGATTGAGAGAGCATATTTTATCATTGATATATGTCACCTGTTATTGCTTGTGATGTGAATGTAAGTAATTCTGACAAAATGTGGTTAATGAAAGCAAAGGTATCTCAAAACAACTTCTGAGGCGCCTAAACCAACTTTAATACACATTAAGTGGGAGGCTCACCGCATGGCTGGCAGCGCGGGTATGCTGCGAGCAACATCAGCCGAAGCCTTGATCACCGTGAACCCCATCGTCTCACTCGTGTCTGTCAGAGGGGGGAGGAGGCAGGGAGGGGGGGGGGGGAGAGGAGGAAGGGGAGAGGGAAGGGGAAGGGGAGTATGGAAGGCACGCGGGGAGTGTAAGTTGGGGTGGTGACTTGGGGAGTGCGGCTGTGGGCATTGCCAGCCGACGCACGCCTTGATCACTGTGCACCCCATCGCCTCACGCGTGCCCGAGGGGAGGGTGGGTGGGGCGGCTGGGGGAGGTTTGGAGGGGTGATGTTGAGCGAAAAGAGGAGAGAGAGGGGGGGAGATGTAGAGAGGACCACGGAGGGGAGGGGGGGTGAATTTTGTTGCCGTTGGCTGCCTGGCTTGTGTGAGAGGGGGCGCGCAAGGCGGGAAAGGGGAACAGGGAGGGGTTCCGGGGGAGAAGGGGAGAGGGAGAGCGTGCGGGGCAAGGGTGCCGGAGGTGAAGGGCGAGTGGGGCGGGATGAAGCGTGGGGGGGGAGTGGGGGGAGATAAGGAGGCAGGAATCGATGAAGAAGACGAGAGCTGCTATAGCGAATGCAACATGATTTCTAGGTACCTTGCGAATAACGCGGGGGTGCTTCTAATGAGATTGAAGAGCGAGCAAGGCAGGGAATGCTGAGGCGATGAGACGTGTGAACAGCTCAGGCGACGAGATAAGTCATTGCCCAAGATTCAGGGTTTCCTCTATCCTTCATGTTAAGCCAAGTCAATGTAATGGCTCCCCTCCCATTGCCGTTTCCCCCTTTTAATCTTCCACTTACCCATTGCATTGCCGCTAGCGATCGGACCTCCCGCCTCCAGGCCGGATGCAGCGGCGCCTCCCTCGGCGGCTGAAGCGGAGGGAAATCCTGCGGACGCGGCGTCCTTAGCGGTTCCCGCGGTGGATGTCACGGCGGATGTCACGGCAGCGTCGCCAATGTCCATGTCGCCAGCCCCGTCCTGGTTCTTAGCCTTCCGCTTCTTCACCATTTTCGTCGAGGAAAAAGAAGATCTGTAGATATTTGAAGGAAAATAAAACCAAGCAGTTTCAGCGGGTTATCACCTAATAACTAAACGGCGGAGACGGATTGAAGGGGTTGGAACGGTCTTTCCACACATTTGATAGGTGGTGTTCCGGATATAAACCCCCGTGCCAGCGACTTCTGCCAGTCACCCAGAACCCAGAAGGGGTTCGCACGTGGGTTTTGGGCCAACTTCATCAGCATTCAAAATAAGCCGGAGAATACTTTGCAGGTGCGTGCCATTTCCTCTGTAATCGATCACTCCTGTCAGCCAGTCGGGTCAAATAGCCGGTCCGACTAACCTCCGGCCAGTCGCGAAAGTCCGAAGGCCCGTCAGCTCTCCGCGGGCAGAAACAGTCAACCAACCTGGGATAGCATGCAATGGAGAATGATAAACTATAGAC